TTGTAAAATAATGTATTTGATGGGTGGTTGTAAACTTTTTAGTGATAATTCTTATGGCTCTTTTCAGCAAAACAAAAATTGGATTTGTAATTGTTCTGTAAGTTTTACCCCAGATTTCAACACAGTAAATTAAATGTGGAACAGTTATTGAATTGTACTACACAAGCAGAGCTTTGTCACTGAATAATTCCCTGACTTTATACAGTACTCCTGTAGATTTACATATTTTTGTTCTTAAATAATAAATGTGAGGTCTCCATGTTAGCATCAATGATGACACCCAGAAATTTCACCTCACTGACTCTACAGATCTTAATACATCTACTTCAAATGAGAAATCAACAGTTGTCTTCCTGTTACTAAATATCATGTAATTTGTTTTATCCATATTCAATGACAAGTTGTTTTGTTGAAACCAGTTTCGTATTTTCTCAAATAATTTCTGTACCATCTCAAACATTTTTTCTATATCTTTACTTAAACAAAAAAATGTTGTATCTTCAGCAAATAAAACACATTTGAAAAGTCCTRACACATTTACTAAGTCATTCACATACAAAATAACTTAGGTCCCAGTACAGAGCCCTGAGGGACTCCACATGTGATATTACCAAGTTTAGATCTTACACCATTTATCTGTACAAACGGTTTCCTATCTTTCAAGTAACTGGACACCCATTATAGTGCCGACCCTCTAATACCATATTTACTAAATTTTTCAAGAAGAATACTGTGATCAACTGTGTCGAATGCTTTCTTTAAATCTGCATAAAAACTCACACAGAACAGTTTTTGATCGATAGCAGTTGTTAATTGTTCCATAAGTTCCATAAGTTCCATTGATGTGGAAGTTTTAGCTCTAAACCCAAACTGAATKCTACTTAAGATATTGTTCTTTTCGATAAATTGATCCAATCTGGTGACAAATAATTTCTCTAAATTGCTGTATATCTTAAAAGACAAAATATCATGACTTTWRAAGGAAATTTTGTAACTGACTGACTAAATGTTAGATTCAGTTTTTTATTTTTATACTTTGTGATCATTGCAGAAGAAGAATGAGAGTTGGTGTGTCTTATGGMTGTGTTCTTTCTGTCTTCATTACAAAGTTGTTTATGTTCTTATGTTTGATGGAAAAGGTAACACCTTCAGGGCGTAAACAGGAAGAGACAAATGCTAAGCATTGATTCATCACTGGTGATGCAGAAGAAGAGATTCAGCTGGCTTTCTGCTGTATTATTCAGACTTCCATGTATTAATCACACATTCCTTTCAACTTGTTAAAAATAAAATTACACGCAGCAGCAGGAGGTGTTTCTTTCATTTTACCTTCTGTTTCTAAAATAAGAACAACTTTTAAACTATAAGCTTTAGAAAATGTTGTGCTCCATATGGAGAAGGAACTCTTYTTTATTTCTTTTCTTTTTATTTCACAGATCTTGCACTGCGCTGTAGGTGAGTTTCCTCTCTATTTCCAACAAAAATACCTTTAAGCAGTTAAATAAGGTGGTCAAATTATTCTTGAAGGAACTTTTTTTTGGAGTTAAAAATATAAATCACTAGCTGTGTTTCCATTGACCATGAAAATGCTCAAATTAGAATTACGAAAATAAATTTGCTCAATGGCAACACGTCAATTTAAAAATATATGTTTTTCGACAAAATGTTTTTGCGCTAGGATGAGGTGGTTTTTCAGCCGTATCGAAATTGGTGTTTTTCGCAAAACTGCAATGGAAACAC